CATTTTAACGGCCATTGCTTTGGTTTTTTGCTGTTTATTTTCACTGCTATGCGTTCCGCTTCCCTGCTGATAATATCTAAACATTTTTGTGCATGGTTCCTGGAGGCCTTTGTCATCATCCTCAGTGAAGACTAGTGAAGTATAGATATTCCAAACAGCTCACCTCAGCCCCTTGGTGGGGATCAAGCGTCGTGGGAAAATAAACAATGCTGCATCGTCACTTTCCGACTCATCAGTTTTTCCTTAATTAACCTTAGTCCATCGAGTTCTGTGCTGGACGCCTCACTCAGCGGAGCTTCATAACCCCGCTGGTCGAGGCGTCGCTCGCACATATCCTGTGGCAGGTGAGTACGACGGGCTCACCATAGTCCGTGCTGCTTGGAACTTTTGGTTCAGAGTACCTGAATCTAATCCTGGGCTCTTGAGGACTTGAACTGTGGACTCCACGCGTGTGAGGTCGAAGTTCTAAAACAAGAGGCGTGGCTGTTACTTCTGGTCCTGTGCTGCTGGTGGACGCCAGGTAACGAGGCAGTGGGTTTCAAGTATTGGTTAGGGTCCCATGTGCTTGTAGTGGATGCCAGTTGTTAGTCGTGGAAGCTAAGACAGCTGGTTCCAGACAGGTAGTGGATACCAAGTGTTGCATTCACTTGGTAGTGGATACCAAGTGAACAGCAGAAGTATACTACTTCTGCTAGTAGAAGGTGGAAATTTGAACAACTAGCTTGAGAAATATATTTATATTTCTTATAATTAAGAAATTTATATTTCTTATAATTAAGAAATATAATTAATAATTAATTAATTTCTCGCCCAGAAGTACGAGAATACATCTTCCCGCCCCCTACTGACCTCCATCACCCATCGAAACATGAAAGGCATGAAGCGGAAGTCACCGAGCAAGTCCAGCGGGCGATCAAAGGCATTGTGGGCCTACAAGGAGGAGTGTCCGCAGGAGGAGAGACAGGCCATGGCCTACACTCTCCTGCACAAGTATCCCACTCGAGTCCCTGTTGTAATGGCCAGGCTTCTCAAGGCCAAGATGAAGGACATGGACCAGGTCAAGTTCTGTGTACCTTGGGACATCACCTTCGGCCAGTTCCACTTCCTGATGAGGAAGAGGGTTGAACTGGGCCCTCAGGAGACCCTGTTGTTGATGGTCAACTCCAGTCACATCCCGTCCTTCTCCGCTACCATGGGCTCCCTATATGAAACCTTCAGAGGAGACGACCTCATTCTTTACGTCGCCTACGGCAAGGAAAATGCTCAGGGCTGATTGATATAGAAACCTACGTATGTATTACACATTGTAAATATGTACGTGTAAATTATAAGATACAGTAACATGACACATTATCTACTAGTCTAATAAAATAACATTTTAAAACATGCAGGCGATGATTCACAATAACGTGGCTAAAGTATATTGACCAGATCACACACTAGAAGGTGAAGGGACGACGATGTTTCGACGACGACAATCGACTTGAGAATGGTCCAGGACGGACCGAAACGGCGTCGTCCCTTCACTTTCTAGTGTGTGGTCTGGTCAACATACTTCAGCCACGTTATTGTGACTCGTCGCCTGCATGTTAAGTTCTCCTATAATTGTGAAAATTAACATTATAAAAAGTTGTATTTATTTGAAAATATAATTACTACACATGCCACCTTTACCTTAAGCATATTCTTTTTTTATATATTTTTAGTAAAGCCAACGAACGTATAGTTTGTAGGCTTTATATAATTTACATTATATAGTTTTGTGAGCCTTATAATTTGATTAGGACTAATAACAAAGACCGAAAATACAACATTTATACAACCATTGTATAAATGGTTGTATAAATCTTCCTTTTAGATCAATTGTATTGATCTTCCTTTTAGATCAATTGTATTGATCTTCCTTTTAGATCAATTGTATTGATCTTCCTTTTAGATCAATTGTATTGATCTTCCTTTTAGATCAATTGGAAGTTTTATACAAAATTATTAAGAATGTGATAGTCAATCTAGAACAACAATTTGTGAAATTATGTAGAAATGTTAACAAATTTATACGGAAAGAAAAAGCAAAGTACTATGAAGTACATATTGGAGGGCAGGCAAAGATAATAAATCCAAAAGCCTTTTACTAAACAAAGGTTGGAGAAACTCAATAAAATACCGTAATGCTTGAATGAAGGTGAAGGAAAGACCCAAAATATGTGTAAGTGTATTAAAAACTACATTTTTGGTGCTGTATACAATGATCTGTTCATATATTTCATGTATACATTTGGTTTTTGATACACTTATACATAAACTGGGTCATTCCTTCACCTTCAAGCAAAAGATTGGAGAAAAGAGTGGGCTATTAAAACTAAAACCAAGAGGCCAAGTAACCAATGACTGCATGGCAGTATTTTAAATAAGTACTCTATATACACATCTGAATATACACATCTGTGGATTTGTTCAAGTACTCTGTATGTTTATTCACGATAGAAGACTTATATATTTTACCTATACATATTTACTACATATATTTTACACTTGAACGAATCTATGTAGGGACTGAAGAAGCTGAATTGTTTGGTAATTACTGGATAGAACAATTTATTTAACAGGTAGACAAAATAAAGCCAAACAAATCGCCAATCTTTAAGAATAAAAATAGATCACTTGCATTGAACTTCTGGTTTTTTGCTTTAGCTTCAATTTTCCCACAAAAGCTTAACTTTTTTGTGCAGAAAATTACTTGAATCGATAACTGCAAAAATCGTCCGTCTACATCTTGAAAAAACAGATTAATTTAACAAATGATTGAAAGCATAGTTTTACTAAGGGCCGCTCATGTTTGACAAATTTGCCTTCCTTGACATCAGTAAAAAAATTTATATCGAGCCTCACGATAGAGTGACCAGACATCAGCTGGATGATGTTGAAATTGTAATATCTAAATGCTGAAAAAATCTGGGATAGTGATTAGTAGGAATTAAAAAAAAATGCATAAATGAAATATGGCAAATATGACACTGGGACTTATTTCTAGAATGATAGTCTTCAGTTGTATCTGGCTCTTGTTAGGCCTCATGTACATTATTCCAGTATTAGTCGTCATACTATAGAATGGACATACATTCACTTCAACGCGTTTAGAGAAGGATGAAAGTTATCTCAGGAATTAAAAGTCATCTGTATGATGATAAATTATGTCACGCAGGGTGCAGTCGCACCTCCACAGATCTCCAGTATCATCTATTGATACTGGTAATGGCTCAAAAGGGCCTCCACTTACGGGCTATTCATGCCCGTGCCACCTTTTGGGTGGCTTAATCTTCATCAATCACGGGACACCACACCACACCACACACTTGGTCCGGGAGACATCTCCCGTCACGCAGGTTGCAGTCGCACCTCCACAGATCTCCAGTATCAGCTCTTGATACTGGTAATGGCTCAAAAGGGCCACCACTTACGGGCTATTCATGCCCGTGCCACCTTTTCGATGGTTTAATCGTCATCTTGGACACATTCATGGGAGACATCTCCCGTCATGCAGAGTGCACTAGCACCTCCACAGATCTCCAGTATCAGCTCTTGATACTGGTGATGGCTCGAAAGGGCCACCACTTACGAGCTATTCATGCCCGTGCCATCTTTTGGGTGGCTTCATCTTCTTCATCTGTTTAAAACACGGGAGACATCTCCCGTCACGCTGGGTGCAGTCGCACCTCCACAGATCTCCAGTATCATCTATTGATACTGGTGATGGCTCAAAAGGGCCACCACTTACGGGCTATTTATGCCCGTGCCACCTTTTGGGTGGCTTAATCTTCATCATCATCACGGGACACCCACGGGAGACATCTTTCATCACGCAGGGTGCAGTTGCACCTCCACAGATCTCCAGTATCAGCTCTTGATACTGGTAATGGCTCAAAAGGGCCACCACTTAGGGGATATTCATGCCCGTACCACCATTTGGGTGGCTTAATCTTCATCAATTAATCAATCACGGGACACCCGCGAAGAATAATGCTGTCACTGTTAACCTTTCTAGTAACCAATCCCCCGTACCTTGCATCTTGGAATGATATGAAAAAAAAAATAAAAAAAAAAATTAATAAATAGTTTAAAGTTTATTTGAAACAAAAAAATCACACATTGATTATGCTAATGAACAAAGAACACAGGAATTTAATTATACATGAAACGGCTACAGGTATCTCTGGCCTTTCGGCTTGTATAGGGATCTAAATGAAATAAAGTGTAAAGTGTGTGGACAAAGACAGGGACACACTTGAACACTATATCTTGGATTGTAGTAAAATTGAGACATTTAGAGATAAATCTAAGCTCACGCTGTATGATATAGCAACCTATCTTATTACCAAGGATAAAATACCTGAAATCCTTGCACTGTATCCATATTTCGCTTCCAGTAGATAAACGACATATGAGATTAAGAAACAAGTAGTGTATGGTGAAGAAGAATAAACAGCAGCTCCTCTATGACTATGTAATATCTCCATTGCTCTAACAAGTATATATTTGTGATAAGACCTACCATTAATTTATAACTTACTGTAAGTCATTATAGGCTCTTGAAATAAGACATTTTCTAGCTGACAGAAAATGTCAGCTTGTAATTATAAGGTGTGGCGGAAAAAATTGTTTATGTAACAATCTCCGTTGAGGTCTGATAAAGACCTTTATCAGATCTCAACAATCAAATATTGAATAGAACAATGTTGACGAATATTAATATACAGACAAAATTATGTACTACAACAAAAAAAGTATTTGTTATTATAAATTACACATTAGTTGCAGGCGACGAGTCACAATAACGTGGCTGAAGTATGCTGACCAGACCACACACTAGGAGTTGAAGGGACGACGACGTTTCGGTCCGTCCTGGACCATTCTCAAATCGATCGACTTGAGATTGAGAAGGGACGACGACCGAAACGACGATCGTCCCTTCAACTTCTAGTGTGGTCTGGTCAAAATACACATTAGTTCTGGGCTCCGAAAACATTCTCGTCGCAGAAGCTCATATACAGGAAGCGGTCCGAGTCTTTGTGTGTCATGTAGAGAGAGACGAGAGAGTCCGTGGACGACGGTATGGTGTTGTTGATGAAGAACACCACAGACGCCCTGGAGCGTACTTGCAGCTTCCTCCTCAGCGCTACTCTCAAGTCCACGACGGTGAGGTTCCCTGGGACTGAGATGCGCATTTCATCGAAGACGCCGCTCCTGGACCTCGGGTCCCTTCCAAGCACGATGGGGACGTTGCCAATATGGCGGCGCATCATCTTTCTAGCGAACAGCGTCCGCTCCTCCAGTGTGTGTTGCTGCTGGAAAAGCCACGTCACTTTCATCTCTATTGTTCGTCGCTTAATTTTGCTGCTCAAATTTCTTATATGAAAACAGGTCAAGAAAGACTCAAGGCCCAATAAGTGTTTCTCCACCTGTCAAAGACGTTAACTAGGTGATTGATGAAGATCAAGTCACCCTAGTGGTGGCACGGGCAACAATAGAGGAGGACTACAAGGGTCGGTCCTTTAAGTACTGGAGGTGAGATGAAATAAGACTGGTAGGTGTTGGGTCTCGCCTCCTCCCCCTTGACTAAGCTGCGAAATAAGCGTTACCAGTGTGTTATGAGTGTTGGCAATGTATGTGTCCGACTTCCTTCCTTACCTCACTGCATTCCTTAGCCATCAGTGTCGTATTTTTCCCACTCTTCCCTAAATTCGTTTGAATCAATTCTTTGTGTTCACTTCCTAACATTCTCTCACATCCCTTGACTTCCTTACCATAAGCATGTTTACATTTCCTACGTCATCTTGCATGCTCTTGTAACCCCAGTTATAAGAGCATCCCTCCAGTTATATTTCTCTATATTATACTCTATTTTTTCTTCATCAAGGCAGGGCGACGCGTAGTGCTGATATCATTCTTTAATTTTTCGAATAATTCTATTTTTTTATTATATCACAATTTAATATTTTTCTTTGAAAATGGGATTTTCTTGTCCGCAGTGGTGACTCAACACACAGAGCAAAGTGACCACTAATATGCAGGCATAGTCAATCCTTTTCTCTTGATGTGAGTTGGTATAAGAACAGATAGATGATTATCTCTGTGAAAGAGACGCTCAAGTGTTTACTAGTTGTGTTTTTACGGGGGTTGAGCTTTGCTCTTTCGGCCCGCCTCTCAACTGTCAATCAACTGTTTACTAACTACTTTTTTTTTCCACACCCCCACACACAAACACACACACACACACACACACCCCAGGAAGCAGCCCGTGACAGCTGACTAACTCCCAGGTACCTATTTACTGCTAGGTAACAGGGGCATTCAGGGTGAAAGAAACTTTGCCCATTTGTTTCTGCCTCGTGCGGGAATCGAACCCGCGCCACAGAATTACGAATCCTGCGCGCTATCCACCAGGCTACGAGGCCCCCTGTGGTATGAAAGTTGCATGTGAGCTGTAAGATAGTTTGAACTCGGCACGCCTCAAGGGGAAATATTAAGCCCCAATCTGTTTAATATATTCATGACCGATATATCATATATCATCCGAGAGATGCTCGAGTAGGGTGACTCCAATCACATCTGCAGATATTATATTTCTAGGTAAAGATATTTTAAATATTCAAAGGGTGTCGGACGAGTTTTGCTATCTGTCGCCGCATGGGACTGGTAGTTAATGAAAACAATATAGATGGGAAAATATAGAAAAAATAATATTTAGGCACATATACACGATAATTTGGAGTTGAACCATGTCTTGGGTTAATGTCGGAGGAGATTGCAACCTTTGAACCTTGGCATATTGTGGAGAGGGAATGCGAGTCCCTGAGCTGATTGATTGATTGATAAAAATTAACCTATTCAAAATGTGGCGTGAATAGCCCGTGATGGGGTAACTCCGATCATATATGCCGATGGAATTTTGCTTCAGGGCAAACATATTTCAAAAGTTCAAACGGTGTTGGATAATTTCGGAAACCTGTCACCATTTGAGACTGGTGGTTAAAGAAGACAAAACTAAGTTTTATTGTAGAAGTCGGAGGCCTTTTATATTGAAAATAAATGGTAAGAATATAGAGTTAAAATATATAAATATTTCGGTACATATGTTGGATATACCCGTGAGAGTTTGGAAACTGAGATGAACAGACTGTTGGGTCAATGTCGGATGAGATTACAATCTCTGAAGGCCTTGGCATGCTGTGGACAGAGATGATTGATTGATGAAGGTTAAGCCACCCAAAAGGTGGCACGGGCATGAATAGCCCGTAAGTGGTGGCCCTTTTGAACCATTACCAGCATCAAGAGCTGATACTGGAGATCTGTGGAGGTGCGACTGCACCCTGCATGACGGGAGGTCTCCCGTGGCGGACAGGGAGTTCCTAGCTGTGTTATGAACAATATACTCGAGTACTGTAAGATCACTTATTGATTATGCTGCACCTGTCATTTCTTGTTTTGGTAAAGGTAGACTGGGCAAGCTGGAGAAGGTAGAAAATGAAGCCATGAGAATAATCTTAGGATGCCCAAGAAGCTATGATTGAGATAATGAGGCTGGAATTGAATCTGAAGAGAATTGGGGTAGAATTTCAGAGATAAATGTAGCCTCTGCCATTAGATTAATGAGAGGTGTGGGAGCTAATGAATTAATGCTCTCAGTTCAAAAGGTGGGAAGTAATTAACAATTTAAGTTAAAGTATGATAAGAGAGCAAATATGGGTATCTTATATTCTAATGTTATAAAGTATGATGTTATTCCAGAATGTATTGCTTTGCCTAAGAGACAATTCACACCACCATGGGAGGATTGCAATGTAGATGTAGTAATTATTCCCTTACAAAAGAAAAAAGTATATATGAAATAGGAGAGCTGAGGGCAACATATGATTGTATAATTAGAAAATTACCTACAGAAAACACTCTACATGTATATTGTGATGGGTCAGTAGCTAGGGATGGGAAGGCAGGATGTGGAGTCTTGATCAGTGAGTACACTGACATCGGCACTGTAGATACTGTTATTGGACGCCGCTTAACTGACAATGTCTCTTCAATGCAGGCTGAACTCCAATGTGTATTAGCAGGATTACAGGAAATAGTCAGATGTGATAAAAATGCTTGCTTCTTTATTGATAGTAGAGGAGCGTTAAAGTCTTTATATATCAGACGACCAGTATATCGGAATATTGTGATCGAGTGTTGAATGTTAAGACATTAGGAAAAAAATGGGTATATATTAAGATTCACGTGGATCCCTTCACATGTGGGAATATTGTTGAATGAGGCAATTGATGAGATAGCGAAGAGAGCCTCGGAAAAACTCTTGTCGATGTTGTACGTCAGAAAACTTTGAAACAAATCAAGACAAGAATCCAGATGATCCAAGAGGATGAAGAAAAAGTTAAGAAAATGGCAATGGTGGACAGCAGTAACACACATTATGAAATAATAAATACAAATTAGTCCTTCACCTATGGTAAAGGAAAGTCTACTTGGAAGGATTAAGTTTACACGAGATTAAGAATACGATACACATTTATGGCAATGCGGTGTTGATGTCAGTGAAAAAGATAAGTAGTGTAAATTATGTAATATGCTGCACGTCCACACCTTAGATCATTACGTATTAGTGTCAATTTATTGATAACTAAAGAAATAATGAAACAAGTAGTGTACTACATCAAATTAGTTGGATGTGTGATAATGGTATAATAGACAGAACACTTAGGAGCTACAAGCACTTTGCCCCAAGAGTGTAACACTTATATGTTGTGTTTACTACATTAACCTGCAATGTTAAATGTGATTCTTGTACTGTGACTTGTGGATTTGTACTCACTGGATTTGTACGCCTCTTGAGGGACTTGAAGTAGAAGGGTGTAGAAATAGCCTAAGCTACTCAATGTTAAGGGCATATTGTGGGCAAAATATGCAATATATGAAAACTGATTCGATTCCAATCAAACTACTTGTATATTAAATTGGCTTCAACTGGGCCAAGTCACGGCATCGTTGCATAAATAGGAAGGGAGAATAAAAAATATTTAATTATGTGTCAAAAATTTTCCAAAATGTTCAAAAATTAACATCAAACACAAGTGTCAACTGAAATCATGTCTATAACTCTCAGCTATCACAATAGCATATAAAACAAAAATTTAAAAATTAGTTTTATAAAAAAAATCGAGTTAAAAAAAAATTAGATTTTTTCTGTTTTTTTCTCATTTGTTTATCGTGCGTTTTGCATGAAACTTATACACCTGATTGTACGTAATCCTATCAGTAAGAGATTGTCTTGAGAATGGTCCAGGACGGAGCGAAACATCGTCGTCCCTTCACCTTCTAGTGTGTGGTCTGGTCAACATACTGTAGCCACGTTATTGTGACTCGTCGTCTGCATAAGGGTGTCTATTTTGGAGGAACATCAGCCACAAATGTTGACATCAGCCATTTGTGGCTGATGTCAACATCAGCCACAAATGGCAGCTCCTTAGACTTCATTTCTTCATTACATTTTTTAAAGTAACATAAACGTAACTAATCCTCATTCACTTTTTATCCAATTTACATGAAACTTACATCTTATTGGGAGCCGGTCGGCCGAGCGGACAGCACGCTGGACTTATGATCCTGTGGTCCTGGGTTCCATCCCAGGCGCCGGCGAGAAACATTGGGCAGAGTTTCTTTCACCCTATGCCCCTGTTACCTAGCAGTAAAATAGGTACCTGGGTGTTAGTCAGCTGTCACGGGCTGCTTCCTGGGGGTGGAGGCCTGGTCGAGGACCGGGCCGCGGGGACACTAAAAGCCCCGAAATCATCTCAAGATCTCATCTCAAGATGAGATGATCACATTTATCTGCATTAAACTGCATCTGCCAATCGTTTGTCCATTTCAAAACCCTATTTGGATCGTCTGGTAGTGATAGTGGGTCTTTTTCCATGTTCATTTCCCTCTCGATTTTCGTATCATTAGCAAATTTGCAAATATTGCTGTTCAAACCTGAATTTAAATCATTTATGTATGTATTATGAATAACAGAGGTCCCAAGACAGAGCCTTGAGGCACTCCTCTTACAACATTTTCCCACTCTGACAACCCCATTTATGTTAACTTTTTAAGAACATAAGAACAAAGGTAACTGCAGAAGGCCTATTGGCCCATACAAGGCAGCTCCTATCTATAACCACCCAATCCCACTCATATACATGTCCAACCCGCGCTTGAAACAATCGAGGGACCCCACCTCCACTACGATACGCGGCAATTGGTTCCACAATTTTTTTTGTTTCCTTTGGTATAGCCATGTCCTAATCCAACCTAATAGATCACAACAAGTGATCTATCTCCTTTCTTGAAAATTGGTACCATCCAGCAACCGGAGACCTGGATTGGTACCAGGTCTCTTTCGTAAATCTTTGTACGAAAGGTAAATTAAATTTACCTTTAATGAGGTAACGCTTGACGCAAATTAATGGCTTGTCCTCAAGGACGACATCATGGACCAAAATATGAGGATATTTACTACGGGCTCACCATAGCCCGTGCTACTTGGAATTTTACATTCCAGGTAGCGAATCTTTAACAACAACAGAGGATATTTAAATATAATTTCCCTCGAAACTTCTCCCCAGATAAATTTCCAGACAGAAACTCGACAGCATTTATACATCCCAATATTTAATAGTCTGTTGTAACCTTAATTAGTGGGTTCTCGTGACCATAGACGGGGGAGAGGGTGAGGTGCAAGAGCAGTCTCCTTATAAATACACCAAGAAATTTTACAATTTTCTATTGATTACGGGTTATTCATGCCCCTGCCACCTCTTGGGTGGCTTAATCTTTATCAAGCATCAATCTTAACATTTTCTCAATTTACGGGCTGTTCATGCCCGAGCCACTTCTTGGGTTGCCTAGTCTTTATCAATCAATCTAAACATTTTCATTTGGAGTCTGTAGTCGAGAGAAACATCTTGACAGGAATGGCCGAGGCCAGAGCTGCCCCTACCCTCCCGAACATCGAAGATTGTGAGTGGAACTATAAGGTGAAACTCTCCATCGCCGAGAGGAAGGCTATGGCTGAAGAGATCATAGAGAAGTACCCGGACAGCGTCCCTGTGGTGATAGGGAGGCGTGTCCACGACAGTCTACTCATCAGAAGTAGACGATTAATTATCCCAAAGTACTACACTTGCCAAGATCTGCTGAAGAAGGTGCGGAGCTACATAGGGCCACCGCCGCCAGGGTTCCAAATGAGCATCCATATAGAAGGTGTAGTGCCACCAGACTCGGCTACGATCAAGCACTTGTACCTGCAGTACCATGAGAATGATGGTCATCTGTACGTTATCAACTCGCTACAAAGAGCCACTTCGGGACAGAGACCGTAGACCTATTGTAGATTACTGTTCTCATGTGTGTATATTTTCCTGAATATTAATAAAATCTTAATATTAAATGTTTGCATTATTTCACCTAGGAATATTTCGCATTGAGAGTGTACGAACTGCAAATGGTGTTTTGCAAGCCAGTATGAGCTATAAAACAAAGTATCTCATATTATATCTTGAGATGATTTCGGGGCTTTTAGTGTCCCCGCGGCCCAGTCCTCGATCAGGCCATGTTTGCTTAAATCTTTGTACGACCTTTTTGTTCCTTAACGACGGTGACTTGTGAAATGTCTCGGTGGTTTTAGTTGCAAAGTTTAACTACATTATTTAAGACAAACTAAATTTTAAATGGTTAAAATTGATTGGAAAATTACTACCTCAAGGAAATAAGCTTATCAAATGTATAGGAGTATCTATAGGATGCTGTCCTGTTCATTAATGTATTAAACAGGGTGGGACTTACGCCTCCTTGAGTTGCCTCGAGGTGAAGTTCAAAATCTTGTAGCCCCTTGAGTACTGTGAGCCCCTTGAGTACTGTGAGCCCCTTGAGTACTGTGAGCCCCTTGAGTACTGTGAGCCCCTTGAGTACTGTGAGCCCCTTGAGTACTGTGAGGACTTGTGAGCTCTTTGAGTACTGTGAGGACCTATGAGCCTTCTGAGTATTGTGAGGATTTCAGGCGATATAGCCTGAAATACTATAATTCACTGTGTCGGGGGGACAGGAAGCCAGAGTGTATTCATATACTTTAGGCTTATTTCGAGATCCCCCCTCTCCCCCTCACCCCCCGCCCCCCAAGGTCGAATTACTGACCCATCGTGGGGTTGCCCAGGAGGCAACCCCACAAGCTGACTAACTCCTGAGTACCTATATACTCACTGCTAGGTGAACAGAGGCATTAGGTGAAATGAAATGTGCTCGACCATTGAGGGCCTGACAGCTGAGTGGATAGCGCTTCGTATTCGTAATCCTGAGGTTCCGGGTTCGATCCCCGGCGGAGGCAGAAACAAAATGGACAGAGTTTCTTTCACTCTGATACTCATGTTCACCTAGCAGTAAATAGGAGGCTATAAGCCCCGAAATCATCTCAAGATAACTCAAGATAAGATAACCATCTCTGTATCACCGAGATTTTTATCCCGGGATTCAGAAATTCCGGGATTCGAACCCGGAATTCTGGATTGCGCATCGAGAAGGACCCCGACTGTACTACCTGGACTCTCGATTGATTGATTGATAAAGATTAAGCCACCCAAGAGGTGGCACGGGCATGAATAGCCCGTAAGTGGTACAATTTTTTTTTTCTCAGTATTCTGAGGTTGCATTTAACCATCAAGCTGTTATCGCGGGGGAGGATACTGCTTCACAGTCTTTATGAGGGTCTCCAGCTGCTGAACACCTTTGTTGACCAGGAGAGTGGCTGTGTTGATGGCTTCAGGGTGGCCACTGCATGATTCAGGAACTCTTAAAGCTCTTCTAAGGTCATTGGTTGCTTCACATTCCAGAAGATAGTGAAGTAATGGCTTTTCTGTGACAGTTTGGCAGAAGATGCACTCTCTCTGTCGGGGTTCACCAATCTCCCAGTTGCATCTGTAACCTAGACGTAGTCTAACCTAACTGCTATTTTCCCTGTGGATTCCTTTTGGGATATTTAACCTTTCTAATTTGGTTGCCTGAAGATACCATGTTGCAGATGGCGAACCTTCAGCTATTCTCTGGTGTAGGTCGGCTTTGTTGAGACGTGAGAGTTTTTGGGGATATATTTTGGACTCTCCTTTTGGGATATATTTTGGACTCTCCTTTTGGGATATATTTTATTATCTCAGTAAAGTTACTCAACTTGGACCGCACTTGTGTCCCTCTTGCATGGTGGTGATCACCTGGTTGATGCCTGATACCTGCCCAGGGGAATTATCTGTCTTTATTGTGAATAGATCAACTGGAGGGTGATGGAGGCCTGGTCAAGGACCGGACCGCGGGGACACTAAAGCCCAGAAATCATCTTAAGATAACCTCAAGATTCACCATCTCAAGATTCAAGAATCCTCAAGTCGATTGTGAGACAATCGACTTGAGAATGGTCGAGGACGGACCGAAACGTCGTCGTCCCTTCACCTTCTAGTGTGTGGTCTGGTCAAGAATCCTGTTCTTTGTGGTAGTGAATCATGTCCTTGTGTTGAATCTCCTTATCTGGTCATGTTTTATCGCTTGCAGCTGCTTCCCAGAGATAACGACGAACACGCTGCGGTTAGCCATTTGCGCCTCATATTGTTGTGTACAGCTGCTTACATTGTCTCACTATTTAGCTGCAGATGAGCGTAGTTCTCAGAGGATATTAAGGCTTAGTCTTCCCCCTGTACAAACGTCAGGTGTGTGTGTGGGGTGGGCAGGTATAGACACACCTTAGCACACGTGTGGCGGTGGCAGCAGTACCTGGACCTGACGATGACACCCACCACCTGCGGCCACACCTGGTGTGCTGGGGCGGCTGCTTCAGCCTCCGACAAAAATGGAACACCTGGAGTCTTTAAATAGCAGACGACCAGTATACCAGATTATTATTATCGAGGGTAGAGAGTGACTAGTAAGACATTAATACAAAATGGGGTATAAAGTAAGATTCATGCGGATTCCTTCACATGTGGGAATATTGTTGAGTGAAGCAGTTGATGAGATAGTGAAGAGAGCCTCGGAAAAAACTCTTGTCGATTACACAGATATCACACTAACGTGATGCATCAAATGAACAAATCCACAAGGGCCGTGACGAGGATTCGAACCTGCGTCCGGGAGCATCCCAGACACTGCCTTAATCGACTGAGCCTTATTCGACAGGGTTAAAAGAGTCCAGTAAGTTCAGTAGAACCTCGGTTTCAACTCTTTAACCCTGTCATAGCTCAGTCGATTAAGGCAGTGTCTGGGATGCTCTCGGACGCAGGTTCGAATCCTCGTCACGGCCCTTGTGGATTTGTTAACTCTTGTCGATGTTGTATGTCAGAAAGCTTTGAGACAAATATAGATAAGAATCAAGATGCAGAACCACTCCATCTTGGTCAAAGACAAGAACCATTTCTTCTTGTCTTTGATACTTAGCCGCGAGGCTGAGTGGACAGTGCTTGGGGTTCGTAGACCGAATGGCCCGGGTTCGATTCCCTGCGGAGGCTGAAATAATTGGGCAGAGTTTCTTTCACCCTGTAAATTACCCCTGTTCACCTAGCAGTAAATAGGTACCCGGGATTTAGGTAGCTGCTTCCTGGGGGATGTGTGTGTGTGTTCACCTAGTTGTATTCACCTAGTTGTGTTTACGGGGGTTGAGCTTTGCTCTTTCGGCCCACCTCTCAACTGTCAATCAATTGTTTACTAACTACTTTTTTTTCCACACCACACACATACACACCAGGCGGTGTGTGTGTTGAGAGGCGGGACCAAAGAGCCAGAGCTCAACCCCCGCAAACACAACTAGGTGAGTACCAGGAAGCAGCCCGTGACAGCTGACTAACTCCCAGGTACCTATTTACTGCTAGGTAACAGGGGCAGTCAGGGTGAAAGAAATTTTGCCCATTTGTTTCTGCCTGGTGCGGGAATCGAACCCGCGCCACAGAATTACGAGTCCTGCGCGCTATCCACCAGGCTACCAGCAGCTGTGAACATGTGTGTACTCACCTATTTGTACTCGCCTATTTGTGCTTGCAGGATCAAGCATTGGCTCTTGGATCCCGCCTTTCCAGCCATCGGTTGTTTACAGCAATGACTCCTGTCCCATTTCCCTATCATGCCTAATGATAGTGTGTGTATAATAATAATCTAATAATCATGTGTGTGTGTGTGTGTTAGATAAATATATATGTAGTAGATATAATAGAGAAAAAAATTGATTGTTTAGAAAGGCGGGGTCCAAGAGCTAATAGCTCGATTCTGCAGACATAAATCTCTGAATACACACACATACAAAGCTCATCCTAGAAGTATGATGTACGGGGTGTGAAGACCGACTGAACGAACTGAACCTGACGATGCTAGAAAAAATGAGGGAGCGCCGAGATATGATAGAAACATATAAAATACTAAGGGGAATTGACAGAGTGGAAATATGGAAATATATGAAATGTTGACACCGAATACCAACAGAGCACGGTGGCATAGGTGGAAGCTCGAAACTCAGATTAGTCATAGAGATGTTAGAAAGTTTTTGACAGGAGCCGCTAATTAAGTAGCTTCCTTTGAAATAATGGTGGAGAGAGAGAGAGAGTGAGAGAGAGAGAGTGAGAGAGAGTGAGAGAGAGAGAGAGAGAAATAGAAAGAGAGAGAAATAGAGAGAGTGAGAGAGAAATAGAAAGAGAGAGAAATAGAGAGAGTGAGAGAGAAAGAGAGAGAGAGAGAGAGAGAGAGAGAGAGAGAGAGAGAGAGAGAGAGAGAGAGAGAGAGAGAGAGAGAGAGAGAGAGAGAGAGAGAGAATGAGAGAGAGAGACAGACAGACAGAGACAGAGGAATGCTTGCAGGTTACATCACTGGGATGATATTCATGGAGGATATTTACACAATTATCTAAGCGGTCGCAGGTGACTTTACTCACACTGATACCAACTCATGACAACTGACTGTATATTGCTGTCTCTGAAAAGAACAAAGACTGTCGATGTTATGGCAGAGCCAGGCACCCCGAGACGCTTGGGCAGCCACAGGTATATCACAGATGAAGCTGTTGAACAATAAACATTGTGTATGGCGAGTGCCACCTGACCTTCGTATATGGGTCAGACCTTTCTTCCCCTATTCACTCAAATAGGTGAGTACATGAATACACACTCTAGACATCCCAGAATAGGCACCAAGTCACTTCTCCCAATCATAAGAACATAAGAACAAAGGTAACTGCAGAAGGCCCATTGGCCCATACGAGGCAGCTCCTATCTATAACCACCCAATCCCACTCATATACTTGTCCAACTCGACCGCTCTTCACCCAACCTATCCTCCCAATCTACCAAGATCAGTTCCTCTGAATGTACACCTCACCACCACACCCTCGATCCTGCCTGACCCATTTCTAGCAACTCTCACTTCAAGCCTCTGTTATCCCTCAGTCTGTTTCCTACTGAATTATCCTCTCTCTTACCCCATCACTACATCCAAGCCCTCCTTCCCCACCCTCTTTCACTCTTACTCTTCTGCCCACAATTCTCTCTAGACTCCTATTTTTTACACACTGCTTTCATACCTACCATTCCAGCACCTGACCTTCCGACAATCTTGTATCCAAAATCTCCGATCCCTTCCCATCCCAACTCCACCCTGCATGAACTCCCTGACACATTAGATATAAGACCAGAGAGATGAAGATTAGGGGAGGGATAGAAGGGTGTGGGGAGGTAGGGAAGGGTGTGGGGAGGTAGAGAAGGGTGTGGAGAGGTAGGGAAGGGTGTGGGGAGGTAGAGAAGGGTGTGGGGAGGTAGGGAAGGGTGTGGGGAGGTATAGAATGGATGTGCAACAGAAACAACTAAATGGGACGGTAGACACAGGTGTGGGTCAAGAAAGAGAGACACAAGACAAAGATGCGGTCAGGTAAGACGGGTGCTGGACGGGTTGGGTCAGATCAGGTCAGATAACACAGAAGGGTGTGGCTCAGAAGAGAAGGGTGTGGCTCAGAAGAGAAGGGTGTGGCTCAGTTGAGAAGGGTGTGGCTCAGAAGAGAAGGGTGTGGCTCAGTTGAGAAGGGTGTGGCTCAGAAGAGAAGGGTGTGGCTCAGAAGAGAAGGGTGTGGCTCAGTTGAGAAGGGTGTGGCTCAGAAGAGAAGGGTGGAGCTCAGTTGAGAAGGGTGTGGCTCAGTAGACCAGGGGTTGGGAGAGTTGAGATGGGATATGGAACAGTAGAGACGGGTCTGTGGAACAGCATCGATGGGTGTGGGATAGTAGAGATGAATGTGGAACAATATAGATGAATATGGAACATTCAAGATGATTGTGGGACAGAAAGGCGTTGACACAAGACAGTAGGAAAATATCTGGGCTACCCTGTGACGGCTCTGTCTATCGCTGTTGTCCCTTACGCAGGTGGACGCGTTCCCACACTCCCTCCCCCCCCCCATCAGCTGTCACACCATCCTCCATGTTCACGGGGCTTGGCCCAGTACTGACTCTAAGGTGTGGCGTGTGGAGCCTTGCGTCGGCGTCTCCAGTGCTCCCGTCACTCTCAAGCTTCAATCATCACAATCTGAAGCTGTCTTTAAGGGACGCCCACGACATGGAGACCTACCAACGATTCGTATGTTTACTTCTGGCGGTGTTCCTGTGTGTGGAAGGTGATGTTGCTGATGAATCAGTGAACTGGGACGACCTGAGTGACCCGAGCTGTCCCAGCGCAGGTGAACTGTCTCCTTGTGTCTGTTTTGTCCTCTCAAAGTCTGCATATCTGGACTGCTCAGCGGTGGAGAGCGAGGAGGAACTGGCCGAGGTGTTCTCTAGAAACGTGGCGTTTCCCCCCTTTAAGAAGCTGACCATTGAAAATAACACGCACCTGAAGGTGCTGAGAGCCGGGGCTCTAGGCAACGTCTCCTTCGAAGAAGTGTTCATTCACGGTGGCGTTCTGGAGGAGGTGGAGAACGGGTCTCTCTCCGCCAGCTATTCTACCGCACTCAAACTCAACTTCGGTTCCAACTACCTCACCTCGTTTAACTTCGACGATATTCAATTCTTCACGCGACTTCAGGAGATAGTCCTGGATGACAATAAACTCTATGAACTGCCGCACATTTCGTCCAATTCGCTGACTTCTCTGAGTATTGGCAAGAACCCGCTGTCAAGCCTCTCCAACACGGCCTTCGCCGACATGCCAGAGCTGCGTGCTGTGTCCATCTTCGACACTGGACTTAATAACTTGTTTGAAGGTAAACCTGTCGATTAATATTGTCTTCTGAGACGATAATAATCTCAGAAGATGGGGGACCTTTCACGGAGGCGAGCTTTCTCTTGTGTGTGGAGAGGATGGGAAGCAAGTTGATGAGATGTGTAGGATGTTGCAATGTCCTCTCTGCACCTTTGTTATATACCGCCATCCTCGCCACACATACACATCCTCGCCACACATACACATCCTCGCCACACATACACATCCTCGCCACACATACACATCCTCGCCACACATACACATCCTCACCACACATACACATCCTCACCACACAACATACACATCCTATCCACACAATATACACATCCTCTCCACACACACATCCTCACCATACAACATACACATACCACACATACACATCCTCGCCATACAACATACACATCCTCGCCATACAACATACACATCGTCACCATACATACAAATCCTCGCAACACGACATACATATCCTCGCCACTCTTAACATCTTTCAGAACCTTGTATACTACGTATGTAAGACCAATCCTAGAGTATGCGGCCCCAGCATGGAGCCCGTACATTGTCAAGCACAAGACGAAGCTGGAAAAAGTTCTGAGGTATGCCACTAGGCTAGTCCCAGAACTAAGAGGCATGAGTTACGAGGAAAGGCTAGGGAAACTGCACCACACGTCGCTGGAAGACAGAAGAGCTTGGGTAGACATGATCACCACATACAAAATTCTCGGGGGGATTGACAGGGTAGAGAAGAATGGATTATTTAACACAGGTGGTACACGCACAAGGAGACACAGGTGGAAACTGAGTACTCAAATGAGCCACAGAGACATTAGAAAGAACTTTTTCCGTGTCAGAGTAGTTAGTAAATGGAATGCACTAGGAAGTGATGTGGTGGAGGCTGACTCCATACACAGTTTCAAATGTAGATATGACAGAGCCCAGTAGGCTCAGGAATCTGTACACCAGTTGATTGACGGTTGAGAGGCGGGACCAAGGAGCCAAAGCTCAACCCCCGCAAGCACAATTAGGTAAGTACATCCTCGCCACACAACATACACATCCTCGGCACACATACACATCCTCGCCACACATACACAACCCTCGCCACATATACACAGCCTCGATACATATATACATCAGTTTCTTTCACCCTGAATGCCCCTGTTACCTAGCAGTAAATAGGTACCTGGGAGTTAGTCAGCTGTCACGGGCTGCTTCCTGGGGTGTGTGTGGTGTGGTGTGAGAGAAAAAAGAAGTAGTTAGTTAACAGTTGATTGACAGTTGAGAGGCGGGCCGAAAGAGCAAAACTCAACCCCCGCAAACACAACTAGGTGAATACATCACCATACATACACATCCTCACCACACATACACATCCTCACCACACATACACATCCTCACCATACATACACATCCTCGCCACACATACACATCCTCGCCACACATACACATCCTCGCCACACATACACATCCTCGCCACACAACTAAGTGAATACAACTAGGTGAATACATCACCATACATACACAAGGCGGGACCAAAGAGCCAAAGCTCAACCCCCGCAAGCACAATTAGGTGAGTACAACCCTCGTCATACCCTCACCTACCAACAATCAAGTAATACTAAACGTTCTAACATTCAATAATGTTAATAAAGTTATCTAAGAGCAACTGAGCCTGAAGCAATCCGGACAAAATACTGGCCGGCTGCACCTGGTGTGAGAGCTTACTTACACCCGACCTGGTGTCCTCCCACAGGAACGTTTGTTGGCCTGGCCAACCTGACCTGGCTCGACCTCTCTGGGAACGAGCTGACCCACCTGCACATCGAGGCCATCCAAGTGAGGGTGTTCGGGGCCTCCATCCACCTCGACCACAACAGCATCTCCGTCGTCCTCCCAGGCGGCGTCACCGGTCAGTATGTACTCCACAATACGTGGCACTCGATCCCCTCCCGCACTCTCTCCAGCTTTAGTTGTCATGACCAGGTCATTAGTCACCACTTTCCACAACCCTCCCCCCCCCCCCCCCCGCCCCTGATCCTGGTAGAGAGAGGAAGCCAGCCAGCTGGTCGTTAATCCCAACCCGTCCTCAGACCAAGTCAATTCCATCCAGCGGTCGACCACAAAGACTCGTACTGTTTATTCAAAACAGGAATTTTCTCAAATATAAATTAATATTATTTAATATTCGCATTTTGTACATATTTAGATACTGGTTAGGTTACGTTAGGTTCTATTATTTGCATTTGGAGTACACGGGTGAAGCATTTACAGTGTTCCAAGTACATTTATTGAGGCAATAAAATACATCTCAAAGGAATAGTGTAACTTAGGCTATTTCTACCCCCCTTTACAGTATTATGGTTCGAACAAAATTCGTCATTGAGGCACTTGTTCCGGAAGTGTTCGAACGTCATCAGTTGTGAGTGGTGTGTGTGTAAACCGTATTTCATTCATAAACAGTGGATATGGCGGGAGCATGGAATGGACTTTGGGTCTTTGTTTATGAGGACGGGCTGGACAGTAATGGCGCAGGTAGTGTCGGTCACTTTCCACCAGTCTGGCTCCGACGCCTCACACGCCACCCAGTAAACTAGCCAACACTACTATCTTATCTTGAGATCTTATCTTGAGATGATTTCGGGGCTTTAGTGTTCCCGCGGCCCGGTCCTTGACCAGGCCTCCACCCCCAGGAAGCAGCCCGTGACAGCTGACTAACACCCAGGTACCTATTTTACTGCTAGGTAACAGGGGCATAGGGTGAAAGAAACTCTGCCCATTGTTTCTCGCCGGCGCCGGGGATCGAACCCGGGACCACAGGATCACAAGTCCAGCGTGCTGTCCGCTCGGCCGACCGGCTCCCTACTGTATGTATTGTACTGTATGCATTTTCGGATAGGAATGCGCTCTGGGCTGCCATGGGGTACGATTGTTTTCGTCCAGCCCCTTCCGTTGTCACCCCGGCGTGGTGTGTGGACCTGTGTGTCGCTACTGACGTGGCTTGCGTCCCATGTTTCTCCTGAGGGGGCCCCTGGGGCCGTAACAGTTTGCAGTCATGGGGGTCCTGTCACCAGGCAGGCCTCAACTGGCCTGGAGTTTTCCGGGAATGCTTCCTCCCACGCAGTAGAGATAGTGTTCTCGCTTCATGCAGGTCGGCGTTCAATCCCCGACCGTCTAAGTGTATGGGCACCATTCCTTTCCCCCCCGTCCCTTCCCAGATCCTTATCCTGACCCCTTCTCAGTGCTATATAGTCGTAATGGCAGGTCGGTCTCCCCCCCCCCCCCCCCTTCATAATTCCCTTACCTTCCCTCCACAAACACACCTCACAGTGTGTGGCTCAGTTGTTATGACAATAATCTCACGAAACTGAATGTGTCTCTTAGTCCTCATAAAACTGTTAACTATATATTCCGCCCTTAGAGAGACGAACAGGTCTCTATACATTATACACCCACCAGTGAAAAACAAGCCCATTACACCGAAACTCCGTGATGTATAACACTATAACACTAGAAGCTACTGATAGTCATCTTCAACTCTCAGCTTCGTGTCCTCCACAGATTTTGGTAATGGCTCAAAAGGGCCACCACTTACGGGCTATTCATGCCCGTGCCACCTCTTGGGTGGCTTAATCTTCATCAATCAATCAATCAACTCTTCATCAATCAATCAAGTGAGCTTGATCACTCATCGTACAACACGAGTCACCAGGCGTCAGAAGGATTATAAACCCCGTAACACTAAGGATTACACACACACATGGATTACAAAGTTAATTTCCTCCACCAAAAATCTGTCTTAAAAGGGGCGGGGGGGGGGGGAAATAGCCTAGGCTACTCTATCCCTTTGAGATGTATTTTATTGTTTCAATAAATGGACTTGAATGTGTCTTACAAGGCCCAATTACATATATTATAGCACAATACAATATACAGTATACAAAAATCTATTTAAATTCCTAAAAATTACACGAGTAAAGTTAGTAGGCCTACTGTAGTGTTCCTGCCTGACATGTGCCAGTAGGCCTACTGTAGTAGTTATAGCATGACTCGTGTGTCTCACCTGTGTGTCTCACCCGCATGTCTCACCCGTATGTCTCACCCACATGTCTCACCCACATGTCTCAGCTGTGTGTCTCACCCGTGTCTGACCTGTGTCTCACCCACATGTCTCACCCACGTGTCTCACCCACGTGTCTCAGCTGTGTGTCTCACCCGTGTCTGACCTGTGTCTCACCCACATGTCTCACCTGTGTGTCTCACCCACATGTCTCACCCACGTGTCTCACCTGGTTGCAGGTCTCAAGGGCGGCTTCGTGTATCTCTACAACAACAAGATCAGCGTCTTGGAGGAGGAGGTCTGGCGGGCCGTGCTTGAGGAGGGCAACACACTCGACTTCAAGTGTGAGTTGTGGCCCACACGTGCACCACCTGGGGGCACGTGCACCAGCTGGGGGCACGTGCACGAGCTGGGGGCACGTGCACCAGGTGGCTATTCCTAACACCTTATACACAGTCTTTGTCAAGAAATTCCTTCTCATCAAGGTTTGATTCTTTATTGCCAAGTAGCCCAGTGTAAGTAGCTCCATCTTCTCTAAGTAGCCCAAACTTTTCTAAATAGCCCGGTCTTCTCTTAGTAGCACACTCTTCCTTAACTAGCCCAATCTTCCTTAAGTAGCGCAATCTTCACTAAGTAGTTCAATCTTCCCTACGAAGTATAATCTTTTCTAAGTAGCCCAATCGTCTCTAAGTAGCCCAATGTTCACTAAGTAGCCCAATCTTAATCAGGTAACTCAGTCTTCCCCTTGAAATTTAATCTTCCAATGCACTTTATTCTGAGAGCCCAGGTAACCTGCTCTTACTATTACCCCCCCCCCCCGTCCCCTCAGGTCCCCCCAAAACAAAAAAATCTCTCGGTAAGGTAATTTATTCACGCTTGTGAGTCCAGTTTTCACCAGGAAGTCCAGTCACGTCCAAGAAGACTGTTCGTCCCAATTATCCCAGTTATCCATTGTAACAGTGCAACCCCTTCTCGCAAATTCGTATAGTCAATATTGACTTATTAACTACGTGCATAGGTGATATACTAAACATAATAGATACCCTTAAAAAGCTTCATAGAAAACACCGACCTTACCTAACCTTGTTAGTATGTTAAGATAAGCATCTTATAGCTTCGTAATTACAATTATTACTTAACCTATTATAGGTAAAGGTTAAGTAATAACTGTAATTACGAAGCAATAAGATGCTTATCTTAACATACTAACAAGGTTAGGTGAGGTCGGTGTTTTCTATGAAGCTTTTTAAGGGTATCTATTATGTTTAGTATATCATCTATGCACGTAGTTAATAAGTCAATATTGACTATACGAATTTGCGAGAACGGGTTGAACAGTGTGCCTAGTTTGATTTGGTTGGGCTTAGCGGCTATCAACCGATAGAAGGTTGTTAAGGAGACAACGACAACCACCTACTGACCAACCAGAAAGAATACTTTAGTCTTGAACAGCGTCCAGGACTAAAGTAATCTCTCAGTGTATATAAGGTGTGAAGGATAGAAGAAATTGTTTAAGTAATAATCTAAGATGAGGTCTGATAAAGACCTTTTGTGCCCTCTGTAATGCTTTTGCGCTACCGCTCACAGGATGAGTATGGGGTGAGCAATAAACTAGCCGCCTTCGGCGGCAACAATCAATCTCAGTGTATATATATATAGATATATATACACCGAGAAACGGGTTATACCTTAGAGTGTGTATAAATCTTCCCCCCCCCTCCCTCCTCTTGTGCAATGTGTTCCTAACCGCTCACATTTCCCCCTCAGACAACCCCCTGGCCTGCGGCTGCGACATTGCTTGGCTCGTCAGGAACACGACGCTCCTGAAGTTCGTGGACAGCATGACCACTTGTGAGAACGGGGACCTCTTGGCGGACCTTGATCCGGCGTACTACGCCGAGGTGTGCTAGTCCCTCCTCCCACTCTACCGGGCCCCCAACACAGGGAGTCAACAGCATCATCACTCGTAACCAATCGCTTGAGTCAATTGCTGCAATCAATCGCAATCATCTGCCACGATAAAGTATCATCAGTGGACGATTCTCTGTGCTTCAGAGGGCGTCTTCTAGGATAGTCTGCATCATCCTTTAAATTGGGACTAAACTTTCACGTTGCATTAACTATGAATCAACAAAAGATTGGTATGCTATCATGGTCATTTGGGAGGGACGCTGACGGAGTGGTGCTATTGGCTGGTAAATGATATCAACATGATAGCTATCTTGTCACTAGAACATCAACATGCGGTCATCATCAACGAGGAACACTGACACACATTTTACCATCATTGACAATGATCGTTATCATTCTAGGTAATACGATCACCGGAGAACACCAGCATGCTCGCGGCTACGGCCACCAGAGAAAATTCGCAGGTGTCCAGCGTTTCCAACTCTCTGTTATTTTATTTCTCTCTCTTATTCTATATTTAATATGTCTCCGTTTTCAACAGCGTGTCCAACTCTCTGTTTACCCTGGCGATGTTAATCTCCCCCCCCCCCTCCACCCTCCCGGCAGAGTTGGACTTTGTGTCTGATGATAAACTCTGACAGTGATTAATACACTGATGCTGTTATTCCTGTTAATAAACTTCATACAATTTTGAAAATATACTTTTTGTTTTCTTTTGATATATATTGGTTTTGTGTCGTGTAAATCCAATTAACCGCGGGAGAGCTATTGAGGTCACCACGACAGCAGACGAACGGCTCAACAAGGATGCTCAGTACTAAAGTGTTCAGGACTAAAGTAAACTGTCTGTATATATATATATATATATACAGAGAGAGGCACTGTATATATATATACAGAGAGAGAGACTGTGTGTATATATATATATATATATATATATATATATATATATATATATATATATATATATATATATATATATATATATATATATATATATATATATATACACAGAGAGGCAGCAGGGTACACCTCTCAGTGTACCCTGTTAACTGCATGGGGCCAATAGGCCCTCTGCACTTACCTGCATTCTAATAAATTCCTGTTTCGATATACATGATAATTTATAATTTAATTGTGTTCGGGGTCAGGCAGCCAGTGTTACATCTTAGGTTAGGTTAGGTTAGGTCAGGTTAGGTCAGGTTAGGTTAGCTTAGGTTAGCTTAGGTTAGCTTAGGTTAGCTTAGGTTAGCTTAGGTTAGGTTAGGTTAGGTTAGGTTAGCTTAGGTTAGCTTAGGTTAGCTTAGGTTAGGTTAGGTTAGCTTAGGTTAGGTTAGGTCAGGTTATGTTAGGTTAGGTTAGGTTAGCTTAGGTTAGCTTAGGTTAGCTTAGGTTAGCTTAGGTTAGCTTAGGTTAGGTTAGGTTTATGTTCAGGTCGCAGCTGAGGACGAACTACTGACCCTTCCCAGGATACAATCACACAACAAGATGACTAATTACTGGGTATCTACTTACTGTTAGATGAACAGTTGCATTAGGTGATAGGACTCGCCCGAGATTCGAACCTGGAATTCCCGATTGTGGGTCGAGAACCCGACTGTACCACCGGGACAGACAGAAGTTAAATTAATAAAGGAAGTCACAGGGTTAAATATATAATAGTTTAATGTAAATATATAAGAAAATAACACAATTAGCAAATAAGCAATAAAGAAAATAACTAGGAAATAATAATTTGTTTGATAAAAGACGTCAGAAAATAATACACCAAAAAGTTATATATACAAAGAAATCACAACTTCCACAATGATAAATCTTCGAAACAAAATTTATACCATTAAAATTTAAAAATATAAAATTTAAAAAACATAAAAATATAAAATTTATGATCAATTACCACATAAAACGTGTTCAAAATTAATTACCCTCTCCGTCATTTTACAAAACATTAAGTTAAAACCAATTTACCAACCATGTCCTAGGCACTAGGTGTATACCAACCATATCCTAGGAGCTAGGTGTGTACCACCCATGTCCTAGGCACTAGGTGTATACCAACCATGTCCTAGGAGCTAGGTGTGTACCACCCATGTCCTAGGCACTAGGTGTATACCAACCATGTTCTAGGCACTAGGTGTGTACCAACCATATCCTAGGCACTAAGTGTGTACCACCCATGTTCTAGGCACTAGGTGTGTACCAACCATATCCTAGGAGCTAGGTGTGTACCAACCATGTCCTAGGAGCTAGGTGTGTACCACCCATGTCCTAGGCACTAGGTGTATACCAACCATGTCCTAGGAGCTAGGTGTGTACCACCCATGTCCTAGGCACTAGGTGTATACCAACCATATCCTAGGCACTAGGTGTATACCAACCATGTTCTAGGCACTAGGTGTGTACCAACCATATCCTAGGCACTAAGTGTGTACCACCCATGTTCTAGGCACTAGGTGTGTACCAACCATATCCTAGGAGCTAGGTGTGTACCAACCATGTCCTAGGAGCTAGGTGTGTACCACCCATGTCCTAGGCACTAGGTGTATACCAACCATGTCCTAGGAGCTAGGTGTGTACCAACCATATCCTAGGCACTAAGTGTGTACCACCCATGTTCTAGGCACTAGGTGTGTACCAACCATATCCTAGGAGCTAGGTGTGTACCAACCATGTCCTAGGCACTAGGTGTGTACCAACCATATCCTAGGTATAAGGAAGTGACCCGTGGGCCCTTACAGCCCAACCACTTGCACTGGACGGTAGAATGACAGTCTCGCTTCCTAAAGGTAGGTCGGCGTTCACTCCCCGACTGTTAATACCAGTCTCCGTGGTGAAGTGGTAAGACACTCGCCTGGCGTTCCGCGAGCGCTATGTCATGGGTTCGTATCCTGGCCAGGGAGGATTTACTGGGCGCAATTCCTTAACTGTAGCCTCTGTTTAACGCAACAGTAAAATGTGTACTAGGATGAAAAAACTATTCTTCGCGGCGGGGATCGTATTCCAGGGACCTGCCCGAAACGCCACGTGTACTAGTGGCTGTACAAGAATATATCAACTCTTGTATATATCTCAAAAAAAAAAAAAAAAAAAAAAAAAAATAATAATATGGTTGGGCACTATTCCTTTCCTCCGTCCTATCCTAAATCCTTATCCTCGATATTCTTTTCAAGTGCTAATATAGTCGTAGTGGTCTAGCGCTCTCTCTCTTGATAACTAACTTTGGATCTGTAATGAACGCACGATATAAATACAGGCCTGTACTGACAAAAAAATATTTAGGAAGTTTAGCTTAGTTACTCAAAAGACTGAAAATTTCTTCATAAGTTTTCTTCGTGAGAGTAACAGAAAACGGACCAAATTAAGGGTCAACAGCATTAAAACTATATATTATATAGCTCTTTAATTTAATTTAATTAATATAACACTTTGGCGCATTCCTGCAGACCGTCGTTGTCACCAATATTATTAATCACACCGCACGCGTGCCCCTCTCGGGAGTCACGAGCAAAAATATTTGTATAAAATCCATTTATTATCCGATCAACTTGGGAATAGTTTACAAATGTTTGCCATAAAATTTACGTTTTCTCTAATAGCCGAACAGCTTATTAAAGAGAACGACGTGGCAGTGAATCATCGTGGTAAAACAATTGTATTATTGACACGACGAGTATAATCGACGTAGTTTTTATATATGTTGCCGGTCGAACGCATCCTTATGTGACCTTTAATACTTATGTTCTTATAGAACATTCTATTGCGAGCACATTGGTACAAAAATGAAATACATACATCGACAAATAATGTCAGGACAGTGAATTGAATATACACTTTTCAAAGCGAGTTTCGCCGATATGCTGCCGCGGGTAACACTTCGGCCACTTCCCACACTGGTTTGGGTGGGCTACGACATTGAATCTATATTTATATGCATATGTCCGTGTAGAGAATTTTATTGCGATTCCAATGATACCACAATTAGCGATGTAGGACAACTGTAGGCTTCGCAACCATTAAGAGAGTGGAAACATTTTGTTGCTGTTTGGCGCTCTCGGCTAGTGATCTGAATAGTTTTTTATTTGGTGTTGATAATCCTTATACTTTGGCGGCATTTTATAGATATGTTCTTATAGACAATTTTATTGCGAACACAGTGATACCAAATTTAAATACGTGCGTCTTCAATTATTGTCAGGACAGTCAAAAGAGTGTACACTTTTTCGGTCTTACCGCGTCGGCGCGCGAAGCGCCCAAAGCATCTAGGGTATGATTTTTTTTTTTTGAACGCTGAGAGCGCGAAAGTGTATGGATAAGACCTATATATTAAACTATAGAACTTACGGTCCCGGTAATACAGTCGGGTTATTTCTCGACGCACAATTGAAAATTCCGAGTTCAAATCCCAGGCTGGAAAGAAATGATTGGGCACATTTCCTTTCACCTAATGCAACTGTTTACCTAGCAGTAAGTAGGTATTCAGGAGTTATTCAGTTTGTTGTGAGGCGAAGTCAGTAATTCAATCTCGGTTGAGACCTCGATATAAGCCTAACGACTATGAATATACTCTGGCGTCCTGTCCCCCCCTACACAGTGAATTATTATTATTATTATATTATTATTATTTACAGTCTCCGTGGTGCAGTGGTAAGACACTCGCCTGGCGTTCCGCGACCACTATGTCATGGGTTCGTATCCTGGCCGGGGAGGATTTACTGGGCGCAAATCCTTAACTGTAGCCTCTGTTTAACGCAACAGTAAAATGTGTACTTGGTTGTAAAAACGATTCTTCGCGGCGGGGATCGTATTCCAGGGACCTGCCCGAAACGCTACGCGTACTAGTGGCTGTACAAGAATGTAACAACTCTTGTATATATCTCAAAAAAAAAAAAATATATTATTACTTTTATGGCTCGTATCGAGATACCTGATCAACCAGGCTGTGACTCATACGTCAGGCTGCGAGCAGCCTCGTCCAACAGCCTGGTTGATCAGTCCAGCAACCAGGAGGCCTGGTCGACGACCGGGCCGCGGGGACGCTAAGCCCCGGAAGCACCTCAAGGTAACCTCAAGGTAACCTCAAGGTAACCTCAAGGTACCCCTCATAGCGTCGAACTACTCATCCTCCCCGAGATACAACCCCATAACAAACTGACTAACTCCTGGGTACCTATTTACTGCTAGGTGAACAGATCCATTAGGCGATAGGAAATTCGCTCAACCATTTCTGTCCCGCCCGGGATTCGAACACGGAATTCCCGATTGTGAGTCAAGAACGCAGCCGAATGTACTATATACCGAGACCATTAGACGGGCGTGTATAAACAATGTCCTAGGAATCAAAATAAGGCAGTGACCTGTTGGCGTTTATAAATAACAAAGAGCCCCATAAACGTCTATCCAAAGAGCTCGGCGCTTTATGGATCTGTAATGAACGTAATAACAGACTTTAATTAAACAAATTTTGGAAGTTTAATTTAGTTATTCAAAGAAATTTTAAATTTTCTTTACTTCATGATTGTAATAGAAAACGGGCAAAATTTAATGTTGACTAAAGTATTTTTATTTAACTTATGAATCATTTACCTGATTTACCTGAGAATCACTAACACTAGTGGCCTCGAAGAGGACAAGCCGGCGGCTTGTCGAAGGCCCCCCTCACCGATTTGTCCTCATGACATTTTCCAGTTTGACTTAAGTATCATATTTAAACTGAGTAACAATATTTTTACTCAGAGATATTTATTATATAAATTGAAGACTCGACTATAGGGGTAATGATTTCAGTGCCTTACACGTTGAAAACTGAAGAAAGTCACCAAGTTAAACAGCTACTGCAGGTAACATTAAATGTGAGGTTAAGGACAGAATTAGGGGGTGAGTTTAGGACAGAATTAGGGGTGAGTTATGGACAGAATTAGGGGTGAGTTATGGACAGAATTAGGGGTGAGTTATGGACAGAATTAGGGGTGAGTTATGGACAGAATTAGGGGTGAGTTTAGGACAGAATTAGGGGTGAGTTATGGACAGAATTAGGGGTGAGTTATGGACAGAATTAGGGGTGAGTTTAGGACAGAATTAGGGGTGAGTTATGGACAGAATTAGGGGTGAGTTATGGACAGAATTAGGGGTGAGTTATGGACAGAATTAGGGGTGAGTTATGGACAGAATTAGGGGTGAGTTTAGGACAGAATTCTTGGAAACACTGACAGGTTTTCTGCCACACACAGTGGTCGAACCTACACTATATAATAGTGTTCCAGTGGTGACCTGGTCAACCTTTATTCCCCCAGTGTAGCCTCTGTACTTCCTCTCCCCCCTAGTGTTACCTTGGTACTTCCTCTCCCCCTAGTGTTGTCTCGGTACTTCCTCTCCCCCCTAGTGTTGCCTCGGTACTTCCTCTACCCCCTAGTGTTGTCTCGGTACTTCCTCTCCCCCCTAGTGTTGTCTCGGTACTTCCTCTCCCCCCTAGTGTTGTCTCGGTACTTCCTCTCCCCCCTAGTGTTGTATCGGTACTTCCTCTCCCCCCTAGTGTTGCCTCGGTACTTCCTCTCCCCCCTAGTGTTGTCTCGGTACTTCCTCTACCCCCTAGTGTTGTCT